CGCGTAGGCGCGCGCGTCAATGCGCGCGTAAAATTTTAAATTGCTCAAAATCGTCTTAAACTTTTTTTGCATACGTTTCAGGCCATTATAAGCATTTCATAAAAAATCACGCAAAACACGCATTTTTGCACGTTTTCGTTCGTCACGGCCGAACGAAAAATAATTTCTCCGCAAAAGCTTTTGACCGAATATTCCTCATATTTTTCCGGAAAATTTGATACCATGTTAAGCTCTTTATCACTATTAAAAACGGAATGAGCGTCCGTTCAAGATAACCGTCCGTACGCGCGATTTTTGTAATACATTGCATATATGGGCAAAAACATGCCTATGAAAAGTCCATTGGGATGAATAGGGATTGCCAATTTTTTTTTCATATTTAGATAGAGTATGAGTCGGAGGTAGGATTTCATATCTCATTTGGCCATTAAGTACATCTTAACGTCATCATAATGGCCTTGGAAGTCAAAAATACAAAATTGCATATTATGACGTCATTGTATTTATGGAAAATGTAGTGTATTTCTCTCAATATTCATCGATTCTCTTTGAAATGTCGATATGTTGTAGATAAGGCAATTCTCTACACGATCACTTTTCACTAAGTTTCATTTTAATGAGGTCATCATAGTACAAAATTCAATTAAAGGCCACATGTCAGAATTTTCGTCATTTGCGTGTTATGTCTATGGAGGGTGAATTTTGTCCACACTATGAATCTACATCACATCCATCTTTCAGCACTATCTCGCTCATTTGTGCTCGGTTTTCTCCCAAATTTGGGTATGTTATAGCTGAGACCATGGGCTATAAAAACGGTGTACTTTGTTTTTTAATCAGATGTTGGGATCATGTTAAAATTTTCGATCGAAAGTTGAAATTGCAAATTTTGAAGGAATCATTAGGTGATACGTAACGAAGTCAACGTATCACCTTTTGATTTCGTCAAGATTTTCTTTTTAGGTGATACGTAACGAAGTCTACGTATCACCTATTGATTTCGTCAAGATTGTTATTTATTATTATTTATTATTATTATTCTTCCTCGAATTTGTTCGCAGGATATCTCAAGACTGAATGAAGGCATTGTTATGAATCTTTCAATGAGGATAGATCTTAGTCTAACTTAGAACTGCGTGACTTTTCAAAGACTCAAAGTCATCGTGACGTCATCCAGGCGCCATTTTGTGAAAATCAACTAATGGTCATATCTTCATAACGGATAGTAATTTTTCATTCATATTTATCATGATTAAGATCAATATCCGTCCGGTCAATTTTAGGTCAATTAACGTGCGTAGACGTGCGCGTACGCGTTCGTGCGCGGGTTAATGCGCGTGCAAAAATTTAAAATGCTCTAAATCATCTTAAATTTTTTTTGCATACGTTTCAGGCCATTTAGAGCATTTCGCAAAAAAATCGCGCACACGCGCAAGCGTGCGCGTTTCCGCGCGTACTGGCATTTTGCAACATAGAATCGTCGAATTTTCTCTTTCATCATATTTGGCACATTTTTCCAAGCATTTTGATAATTTGTTCACCTTTAATTAACGCAATGAGCGTCCGTCAAAGTTGACAGCACGCGCGGATTTGTGTTATCTTTATCCACAATACATGGGCAAAAACATGCCTATATAAAATTCATTGTAACTCTTTAGAATAGATAGAAACTCCTAATATTTTTTCATATTTAGATAGATTATGAGTCGGAAATATGATTTCATGTCTCATTTGATCCTCAATTAACTCATGATGTCATCATAATGGCCTCCAAACTCAAAATTTCAATTTGCATATTATGACGTCAGCATATTTTTGGAAAATTGATTGTATCTCTGTAAATATCTTTCAATTTTCTTTCAAATTTTAATATGTTCTAGCTGAGACAATTTCCTACAAATTTAAAATCCACAATTTTTATTTTTGACAAAAGTATCATGGTGTATTTTGGCGATTAAAGAAGGCATGTCAATTTTTCACATTTTGCGTGTATTCTTAATGGGACATGACTTTTTCTCAAAACTGGATTCTACACTCCTATCTGCCGTGAGCAAAATCTCCGTTGTTTAAGCTTCGTTTTCTCTGAGCTTCGGATATGTTGTAGCTGGGACAATGAGCTATCACTAGTGTGTCCTTTATTTTTCGATTAGATGCCGGGATCATGCTCATATTTCACTTGCAAAGTAGGATTTCAGAATCCCATTTTTCGTTTACGTGTAATCGCTATAGGAGATGTTTTGGTATATCGGTAACGCACTTGACTTCCAACCTCGAGATCCCTGGTTCGAGTCCGGGTGTCTCCAACACTTTTTTTTCCACTTTTTTTTCCTTTTGACCTTCACTGTACCATCTCCTTTGATTATTTAAACACGTAGATTCGCAAATAATGTCATAAATAACCCTTTTTTACTTTATTATTACCCTATTTTCACTTAATCCATTACTTTTTGCGTGTAATCCCTATGGGAGATGACTTTTTCTAAAATCTGGAGTCTACATTCCTGTCTTTTGCGAGCAATATCGCCGTTATTTCTGCTTGGATTTTGTTGACTTTGGAGTAAGTTGTAGCTGAGACTATATGCTATCTAAATCAACCCTCATTTTTTCAATAAGATGTCATGATCGCGCTCATGATCATGATCATCATGATCATCATTATCATAATGATGATAATCATTTATCAATTACATTTTCATTTCTTTGAATAAGATAAAAGTCGTCAAAAGGTGTTCTTCATGATGTAAATTAGAGTCAAATGTGTAACTGGTTACTGCACAGGGTCAAAGGTCATAAATTGTTTCAATCTATCTTCCCTAGATCCATGATGATCAAGGAGACACAATTTAATCTTGACATATGAATAGATCATAATGGGAGAAGCATATGAATGGGAGAAGCATTTTACAAAATAATATATCGTGTGATGCATTATTCGTTATGTAGACCATTATCATACGTATCACCTAATTCGTCTAAGTGACGAATTAAAGTCTAGTATTTATTTTGTGTCTGTATAGAAGAAATTATTATTATTCTTCCTCAATTTTGTTCGCAGGATATCACAAGAATGGCTAAAGCCATTATCATGAAACTTGCCATGATGATAGATCTTAGTCTAACTTAGAACTGCGTGACTTTTCAAAAACTCAAAGTCATCGTGACGTCATCCAGGCGCCATTTTGTGAAAATCAACTTATGATCATATCTTCATAACGGAAAAGTATTTCTCATTCATAATTATCATGATTAAGATCAATATCCGTCCGGTCAATTCCAGGTCAATAAACGTGCGTAAATGCGCGCGTGCGCGTTCATCCGCGCGTTTACGCGCGCGCAAAAATTTAAAATGCTCTAAATCATCCCAAATTTTTTTTGCATACGTTTTAGGCCATATGGAGCATTTGACAAAAAATTATGCTCACGCGCATGCGCGCGCGTTTTTTGCGCGTATTAGCATTTTGCAACATAGAATCGCCGAATTTTCTCTATCATCATATTTTGTACATTTTTCCAAGCATTTTGATAACTTGTTCACCTTTTAATAACGCAATGAGCGTCCGTCAAAGTTGACAGCGCGCGCGGACCTGCGTTTTCTTTATCCACAATACATGAGCAAAAACATGCCTATACAAAATTCTTTGTAACTCTTCAGAATAGATAGAAACTCCCAATATTTTTTCATATTTAGATAGATTATGGGTCGGAGATATGATTTCATGTCTCCTTTGACCCTCGATTAACTCATGACGTCATCATAATGTCCTCCGAACTCAAAATTTAAATTTTGATAGTATGACCTTTGCATATTTTTGGACAATTGATTGTATCTCTGTAAATATTAATTTTATTTCTTGCAAATTTTAATATGATCTAGCTGAGATAATTTTCTACAAATGCAGTGTCCACAATTTTCCAGTTTGACAAAGGTATCATGTCGTATTTTTGCGATTAAAGGAGGCATGTCAATTTTTCACATTTTGCGTGTATTGTCTACGGCACATGACTATTTCTCAAAACTGGATTCTACATTTCCCTTTTTCGCGAGCAATATCTCCGTTGTTTTAGCTTTTTTTTTGCTGAACTTCGGGTATGTTGTAGCTGAGACAAAAGGCTATCTCCAGTGTGCACTTTATTTTTCGATCATATGCCGGGATCATGCTCATATCTCACTTGCAAAGTAGGACTTCAGAATTCCATTTCCCGTTTACGTGTAATCGCTATAGGAGATGTTTTGGTATATCAGTAACGCACTTGACTTCCAATCTCGAGATCCCTGGTTCGAGTCCGGGTGTCTCCAACAATTTTTTCTCCACCTTTTTTTCCTTTTGACCTTTCACTGTACCATCTCCTTTGATTATTTAAACACGTAGAATCGCAAATAATGTAATAAACAACCCTTTTTACTTTATAATTACCCTATTATCACTTAATCCATTACTTTTTGCGTGTAATCCCAATGGGAGATGACTTTTTCTCAAATCTGGATTCTACATTCCTGTCTTTTGCGAGCAATATCGCCGTTAGTTCTGCTTGGATTTTGTTGATTTTTGAGTATGTTGTAGCTTAGACTATATGCTATCTAAATCAATCCTTATTTTTTCAATAAGATGTCAGGATCGCGCTCATGATCATGATCATGATCATTATCATCATGATCATCATTATCATAATGATGCTAATCATTTATCAATTACATTTTCATTTCTTTGAATAAGATAAAATCGTCAAAAGATGTTCTTCATGATGTAAATTAGAGTCAAATGTGTAACTGGTTACTGCACAGGGTCAAAGGTCATATATTGTTTCAATCTATCTTCCCAAGATCCATGATGATCAAGGAGACACAATTTAATCTTGACATATGGATAGATCATAATGGAAGAAGCATATAAATGGGAGAAGCATTTTACAAAATAATATATCGTGTAATGCATTATTCGTTATGTAAACCATTATCATACGTATCACCTAATTCGTCTAAGTGACGAATTAAAGTCTAGTTCATTTTGTAATACTGACCCTGAGACATATAGTCACATTTTTGTTGAATGTCCTAATGTTAAGCCTATTTGGGATGAAACTGTTAAAGCTATTATTCAGAAAACTAATAAACCTCTAAATGTCTCAACATTTGAAAAAATGTTCGGTTGCGAATCTGATAGGTTCCTTACATATTTGTTTCTTTTACTTAAATATTATATTTATATATGCAAATTCCAAAGCAAACCACCAAACTTCGAAGGTTATAAATGCTATATTACGGCCAATAAAGAACTCGAGTATTGTATTGCCAAAAAAAATAACAAACTCCCTATTCATTTTCGGAAATGGAGATTTAACATTTGAATATGTTACCTTTGAGCTCCTTTGCAAATTGTATTTTTGCTTTTAACATGCTTTAAAAAAAAAATACCCTGTACAATGTACTATGTACCATGTTTGTTATATAAGTAACGCGGAAAACACCTAACATGTCTTTTTTTATGAATGAAAATCATTTTGTCTTATTCTTCTGGCGACAATTCTATGTTAACATTTTTGTATTGCTGCTTTTTTTTTTTTTTTTTTTTTTTTTTTTTTTTTTTTTTTTTTTTTTTTTTTTTTTTTTTTTCAAATTGATTTCTTTGATTCATGTGTTGATTTGTATCTTGAAAACCAATAAAACACATAAAAAAAAAATAAAAAAAAAAAAAAAAAAAAAAAAAAAATATATATATAAATATTCTACAGTGGATATGGATGATTTTTTTTTTAAAGGTTAAAGAATCATCTAGAGATGAAATGTAGAGAAACATGTACAATGTATAAATATAGAATAACAGGAGTCAAGCAAGCGTAGTACCGGTATTTGATCAATATCATACGTCTGCTTGCTTTGTTTCTTTTCTAGATCACTGGGTTTGACGTACATGTACATGACAACATGTTTTGTCCTGGTTTCATTCACATGTTCATAATACTACATGTTCATGTACTTTAATATCTAATTATCAATATCAACTTGTTCTTAACCCGGATTCCAGAAATAGCCACACAAGTAGTACATTGTGCATATGTGCACAGTATTGAACAAAATCAGTATGCATGTACCTGTATACTGTAAATATGCTTCATGATTCTCAGTGACTCAGTGTACCCCAACAAATACATTGTACTTTCAGTTTCTCACAGCACGTACCATAATGCTAGTTTGTTGATGTACTGGTAATGTGTAAATATGAAGGTCACAAATGCATTTTAAACAATACATTTTGATAATGGTAAAGATAATGAAGGTACATGTACCTAACAACCCAACATGTATAATACAAAGTGTTGATTGATGTCATAGATGACATTAAAATGTTTTTCATGGTATGTCAACATGATCTGAGCTAATTTAATCTGAAGTGAATACCGTATTGATTTTCTTCATATTGATAGCCAAAAGGTCATTACCCATGATTGCTCTAGAAAATAGTTGACAACTTTGGACAAAATTTCTGATGTCACCTGTCTGCCTTGTCCCATGTACAAAAATGTACCAATTGTCAGCAAGATTTTGTGAATCTTGAAACCTCTAAAAACAAAATAATTCATAATTTCATACAAACAACAGAATTGACCATTTCAGAATATATTGAAGACAGTTTTTTTTCACAAAGCAAAGTTGCAGGATCAGAACTCAACATACAATTTTCAGATATAAGCAGGTATTTCAAAGTAAACTTCCATGGAATTGTATACAAGACGGAAAATCTATTCTGTACTATCTTAAATAGATACTTTAAACTGGTACATGTACAGTATATTCCACTTTCAAGGTAAATCTATTTACAGTGTATGTAAATTGATTGCAATCATGTCAAAATAGTTTATTAAATCTAACTTCTTTTCCCTCACACTGCATAACCTACATGCACCAATTCCTGTTCATATACATCTTCATGTACCGGTACATCTACAGTACAGTTGTACATGAAGATGTACATTGTACATACATGTACCTGTACATGTAGGGTATTGAAAGGTTCAAAGTGAAATTTTGGCAGTCTATATGCCTATCAAAATGATAATATTGGGGTTTCTGTTTATTCCATTCAAGAAATATTACCCAGCATCTAAAGCAACATGTAGCTTCAGCAAAATGTATCAAGATCAGAATGATTTTTTTTAAAGAGGAATCAAATTATCAACCCCATACTATTACATTGATTGATGATTGATCAAATTAGGAGTTTTCTTGCAATTACAAGAAAACATCTGATCCTCAATAAAAAAAGATAAAAAAGAAGAAAAAGCAAGGAAGAACCAATGATCTTTTATGGTCATTCCTGATCAGAAAATAGATTACCGGTAACACAGATATATTGTATGCCCCGCAATTTCCTGAGTGACATTATATTTCACAGAGGTCGCAGGCCAAGGTTGAATGATGACACGAGGGGAGTTTTGTTCATGTGTTGGAGATGAATATACAAGTACAGTACATGTACATATTGAACAATGATTTGTAAGCAATAACATTGAAGGTACAATGTACCGTATTTGTCGGTGATAAGTCCGCAGCGCTGCATAGGCCGCATCCCCGATTTTTACATTTAAAAAACAAAAACAAAACAAACAAACAAACTTTTTGTAAATGGCGGGATTCAAACTCTTGCGGACATATGTAGATTGGGACCCGAAACCAGCGCCTTAGACCGCTCGGCTATCGCGACTCTATTGCTTCCGCATGCAGTTCTTTCTTGTGTATTGCATTTCACCATAGCTTTGATCGCGCGATCTGAGGATTGAGGTTGCTTTAGCTATGACAAAAACTTAAATCTAGATCTACCAGTAGTTGGTTGGTACGTTATGAATTTTATTTACGAGATTTGCCCTTCATTTAAAAAATATAACACATAATTGTCAGTAAGACATGTGTTATTCTAGACAGTTATTCTAGAAATGTCCATCACCTTTCATTGTTGTCCCATATGTACAGATTCATGTTTTTGACTTGCCAACTTTTTGATATTTTCTCTTCCAAAAATACTGCGGCCTTTACGCCGGCAAATACGGTATTTGCGATTCCACGCCTTCCATTGGTCAAGTCATCCTCCATTCATATTCAGATTTCCTCCCACGTTAAATGCATGCAGCTAAAACAATGAAAACAGCAATGTACAGTGTATCATGCCAAAAAAGTTTTGTTACATGTATGTCACATGCTAAAGCACATACATTGTAGACCTTTGTTAGTGTCACAAGATAGATTCTCTGCAATCACGAAGCTACATGTATCTAACAGTATAAACCCTATTTTATGTAGTGCAGGCACTGCTAAAATTTTCATACATACTGTACATGTAGATAACTTATCATTAAAAGCTGCATGTACATGTACATGACTACATGTAGACAGAGACACTCGTTGTAAATGCAAGCCTATATTTTTGCCTACCGGTACTTGAATTTTTCAGCCAGACTTAGATTTATATTCGGTTATATCATGGTGGTCATGATTATAAAATTGATTTTTTTTTTTTTTTTTTTAATGTATTGATATTCCAAAACATGTACTTGCTTACTGTACATGAACATTATACAATGTCAACTTATTTCTTTTTCTTCTTCTAGAAGATTTTGTACAATGTGTCCTGTACGAGTGTACGACATATATACATGTATATATATATATACAGTACATGTTTCTGTCTACTGTATTTTCTGTTTTTCTGTCTACTGTATTTCACCTGAGAATATAAAATCCCTTGAAATTACCATTTAGTAATGTTAATGGTCGTATCAGGAGATCTTCATTATTGTGTGAAGTTGTGAACTTGTGAAGTACATGTACAGGTATGTCAACATGAATCTGATATATGGGACACAGAATAGAATTGCCCTTCAATAGTTGTACAGGACACCATCTGGTACTGTTTAAAAATCAACCACTCTGATGCCTTAAGGGCTAGGTGATAATATGAAATATGATAATGTACATTTACATGTACATCACCTAGCCTTAATTGGTACCCATACATGATACCCCTGCATGAAGAGTGATGTAAACATATATGTAACGTAAAATCACCCTTTCCTGCACCTGACGAGCCTTGCATACTGCCTTTGGAGTACGCCAGTGGACCTTTCTTTCTTCTCATACAAAGCTCTTTAAAAATCAGTCAAGATTTTAACCAAAATGGAAAAAAATTGATACTGGATGCGCAGCAATTTGCTTACCTTCCATGTGTTTTTGATGATAATGAGTTAACATGCCATTTACATTACAAAGAAGCTGACCACTACAAGATTTTGCGATGTTGGCACACATGGTATACAAAAAACACCCGTTTTCATGATCAGAGTAAAAAAGGCGCTTGTGCAGCGAGTTCGCTCAATTAAGCAAACTCAGTGCATACCCCTTAGTATACTAATCTAATTACTATTATCCTAAAGCAAGTCTCAAATTGGCCACACAGAAACAATTTTTTTCTGTGTACACATCGTGTGCATTTTAGGCAGTACCAACATCAAAAACTCTTCAAGGAGGCGAGTTGGCTCAGTCGGTAAAGCGTCTGCCTGTCAAACCGAAGATCCCGGGTTCAACTCCCATCCAGGCGGATGACTGAAGTCTGCGTTGTGTGGTAACGTGCCCCTTCCCTTGTTCATAGACACAGGTTATGCAGGGCTCGAATTACCCACCGGCAATCGGCAATTTGCCGCCATGCCCCTCTCACTGGCCGGAATGCCCTTTTCAAAATCAAACCGTTTACGGCCACAATATTTTAATCCACAAAAGTTTGCCGACATTATAGTCATCGTAAGCCAACCCGACTTGTAATGTTCAAAAAGGTTTTGTTGCCCATACGGAGCTCTAAAAACAATGCTAGTCGGCAAGGTTTTGTTGCCCCTCCGGAGCTCTAAAAACAATGATGGTCGGCAAGGTTTTGTTGCCCCTCCGGAGCTCTAAAAACAATAATTACCGGAAGGTTTTGTTGCCCCTCCGGAGCTCTAAAAACAATGATAGTCGGCAAGGTTTTGTTGCCCCTCCGGAGCTCTAAAAACAATAATTACCGGAAGGTTTTGTTGCTCCTCCGGAGTTCTAAAAACAATGATAGTCGGCAAGGTTTTGTTGCCCCTCCGGAGCTCTAAAAACAATATTTATCGGCAAGGTTTTGTTGCCCCTCCGGAGCTCTAAAAACAACAATTACCGGAAGGTTTTGTTGCCCCTCCGGGGCTCTAAAAACAATGATAGTCGGCAAGGTTTTGTTGCCCCTCCGAGGCTCTAAAAACAATAATTATCGGAAGGTTTTGTTGCCCCTCCGGAGCTCTAAAAACAATGATAGTCGGCAAGGTTTTGTTGCCCCTCCGAGGCTCTAAAAACAATAATTATCGGAAGGTTTTGTTGCCCCTCCGAAGCTCTAAAAACAATAATTACCGGAAGGTTTTGTTGCCCCTCCGGAGCTCTAAAAACAATGATAGTCGGCAAGGTTTTGTTGCCCCTCCGAGGCTCTAAAAACAATAATTATCGGAAGGTTTTGTTGCCCCTCCGGAGCTCTTAAAACAATAATTATCGGCAAGGTTTAGTTGCCCCTACGGACCTCTAAAAACAATAATAATCGGCAAGGTTTTGTTGCCCCTCTGGAGCTCTAAAAACAATATTTATCGGCAAGGTTTTGTTGCCCCTCCGAGGCTCTAAAAACAATAATTAT